CCCCCCCACCCCCCACACCCACACAAACACACGGAAGGAAACTAAACGCTTCCCCTGGGTTGCACGTATCTCCTCAGAAATTGGGCAATGTCTTAAGAAAACCATTGCAGACAGATCTATGCAGGGAGGCAAATGCAAACTTAATTGTTCTACTCTTTTCCACTATCCCAAAAAGGGTATTCCCTTACCGCCGAAGACAGTGCTGGACAGAAACCCTTGGCATCCTCCTTTTCCTTATCCAAGCTTTTGCCTGAGAGTCGGTGAACTCAACCATGTATTTCTTAGCAGTGTTGAATCCCACTGACAGTCCTCGGTTTCTGTCCTCCCCTTTTGCATCGTACTTATCAAGATTTCGCGCAGCCTCTTCCAGATCAAACTGCACGGCCAACAACAAGTTGTATTAGAGAGACAGAGGGGCTGACACATTTCCAGCATAATACAAATAGAAGGAAAAGACCGAGACTAAACAGAAAAAAACACTCTTCGGTTTGAGAGGCTGAGTCTTCAATTAAGCACAGTGAGGCTTATTCAGGAATCCTGTTTCTTTCCAACATATACAAAGCCTGGCTAGCCTTCCTATGGTCAACTCTGGTGGCCATCGAGCTGCATTAGCAGAGTTTCCGAGCTCCAAAATTGGATACTATTAATTTTTTGGGTGAAGTGGGAATCACGTGTCCTCTCATGCACAAGTGTTCAGCAGCCTGTGCTAAAAGAACAGACAGCCAACCTTCAAAAAATGTGCACTGTGGACTCAAGCCTTCCCATGTAGTAAAAACAAGGATGCAATGCTGAACAGTAGCAGGTGGAAGGGATTTTATTCGCCAAGGAAGATGAACCCCATCAGACTCAGCTATTCCTCCATCACCCTGTCACATTTACCCCATCAGACTCACCTCTGGGTGATTGGGCAACCGCAGGCAAAGAATCGCGAAATGCAAAAGGTTGCGCCACAGCTGAAAAGCTCCATCCATCATCTCCGGTGTAAGGCCTTTTATCTTTCCTCCTGTATCTGTAATGCCTGATGTGCTTTTGGATGCATCTACTACAGGCGGCTGCACAAGCAGCCCAGATGCCCCAACCAGTGAGGTCACCCGAACAACTGCTGGTGGGCTGACAACAGCTCCACTCTGACCAACAGGCCCCGGTGGAGGTCGAGGTGACTGGGGATTGGTCGCTTGGGATCGAGCCTTTGGACACAATGACCAGATATTATGGTTCACAATCTTGCTCCACGCCCACTGCAAGCACACCTCATATCTGTCATACTGCTGCAAAAGGAGATACCATAACTCCTGAAACAACCAAAGAAGGAACAGTGATGGTAAAACATTGCCATAATGTTAGCACTCACAGTTCATCAGCACCATCATAACGCAATCGGAAGATCTCATTTGAATTCAATGCTTCCGGACATGAGCAATTGACTCACATTCTTTCTTCCTACTTGCCTGTGAGAGCAGCCATGTCAAAGCCTTACTAGTCCAGTGCCACGCATCCTCATCAGCATTGTCAAAAAGGACATAGTCCTGTGTCACCCCATCATGGGAGATTGCATATCCATTATGATCCCTATGCTCTCACCCCCATCCACGTCATTCCATGTTCCCTACCCAATCACAAATCAGGGATAGATCCCACAGAAACTCTCTCTCTCTCTCTCTCTCTCTCTCTCTCTCTCTCTCTCTCTCTCTCTCTCTCTCTCTCTCTCTCTCTCTCTCTCTCTCTG